TCGAGTTGAAGAACCATGGGGGTGCAACCACCCCTCACATTCACCTTTCACACAAAAAGCCGAGATCCATTTGCTTCTCCATTCGGAACATACGTGTTCTCTGTAAACATCACAGGACACCCCTTATATAAATTCAAAGCAGGATCAACAAGTTTTCGTGAGTCCGAAACGGGATTTCTAACATGTCATTCTCCATCCAACCATGCTTAGAATAAGAGAGTGCTTTAACAAACCCGAACTTGCTACTTAACAGGAACCGTAGTCCCTTGCTTGATTGGCCAAATTTTCTTGGGGGGAAAAAGGAAGGGGGGGGGATTAACCATCGTCGTCCATGAAAATGTGTACTGCATCCATCAGCAGGGAATCATCAGCAGGTTTGTTCTTTATCCTCTCTCTTCAACGGCTGCAAGATTCGGGCTTTTTTCTCAGGTCAAGTCAAATCTATCCTTGTGGAACATGAAATGGAGACTATTATGCCACGTACTTTTTATGTAACGGAGCAAGACTACACTTTCAGTACCAGATGGTTTTATGACGGAGAAGTTGTACACACCAAGATGAAGGGTAAGCAGTTCCCGATTATCAGCAATTCTGCGACAACTGGACACAAATTACAGGGATATACTGCAGTGTGGTTATTGGTACATTCATGGCGATACTGTCAAAACTGGGCTTACGTGGTGTTATCAAGGGTGCGAACCATGAGTGGTTTGTTCTTATTGAAGAAGCTGGATTGGGATCCAAAGAACTTTGCCATGCCACAACGAATGAGAGACATGCTTGCAAGATTTAAGGATACTATTGGGCTTTCTGTCCTAGGAGAAGATCAATACGATGAAATGTTCCAGCGAGAAGACGGGTTCTTGTTATAAGTATGAACGGTAGGGATATAGGGTAAATTAATCTGTATATAAAAACTTTTATTACTACAACTACCTTTCTGAGATTCGCATTGCACCTCGTACGTCATTCAATGTCAGTCATTGAAAAAAGATCAAGCGTCCAATCAAATCACAGGCGACCCCGAAAAATTAGGAGCCAACTTTTAAAATGTGAAGAACGCAAGGCGACTTTCATGTGCATGTACATGCGTTGACTGTATCCCGTCAATACAGTACTAGTCGAATACGTAGACTTCTACAGGGCCTTCTAAGTAATGCGCGCCGGGTATAATTCAAACCTCTGCCCCCATCCGTACCATTACCCCTAAAAGCAAGTCGTCTCCAGGAGACGAAATTTAAAAGGTCTGGCCGTGGTAGTGCCAAAAATGACATTTCTATGGCTTTATTTGAGCAAATTTGTGTCAAATAGGCTATTATTGTGTCAGATTGGTCGTTATCCCCACCAAATGGCTCAATTTGAAGAAAAAATCATGCCACGTTTGAACCGATGTGCAAGAACCCCGGTACCGGTACCTGGTAGCTTGGAGAATGATGCATTCAAAACCGGTCGACAGCAAGACGGCGTCAAATCGCCGACCACTCAAAAAAATCTACACTTCCTGCATCCACAAAACCAAAACCAAAACCAAAAACAAACCATAAAACAAACACCATGGCCAAGAAGAGGCAACGACCTGCCAGTTCCTCTGGTACTAGCAAGGAAGCTGATAATGATGTTGGAGGTGACCAGTATGAATTTGCTTGGCGCAAGGTCGAAGTCGGAATCAGAGCTCCTTCAAGAGCTTCCGCTACCAAGTTTTCTTCCAACGATGACAATGATGACAATTTTGATAGTGGGAACAATCACTATGACGAGCCGACATCCAGTATATATCGCTCAGCAGGAAGGGATTTGGAAGCTAATCCAGCCGAAGGTTTTGGAATGTTCTTGGGCCTGGAAGTATTGGATGGGAGTCGGTACAGTGTGGTAGAAGAAGGGGGATACAAACGGCTTGTACCCAAACTGGCTGACGACGACAAGAAAAAGAAAAGCAAAGAGCCAAAAAGCAAGAAAAAGCAAATGGAAAAGTCATCCGATGAAAAGAAAGAATCAGAAGTGAAAGAATCAGAGCAGGCGACCTCTGAACCTGCTGATGAGGCCGAAGCATCCAGACCGAAGAAGAAGAAACGCAAAAACAAAAAGAAAAAAGCCAAAAAGAAAAAGGACGAGAAAGCAAGGAAGACTGCCACTGAGTCTGAAGGAGAGGCCAGCAAAGAAGACGAAGCGACAACGAAACCTTCGCAAGATCAAGAAGTTTCTGAGTCCAAATCTGAAGGCGAACCAGAATTGAAGTCAGATGAGCCACAATCTAGCGATAAGAATGACACTGTCAATACTGATGACATGCAAGATCCTGAATCAAATCCACAACTTGAGCTGTTTCAGAACTCGTGGATGACAGCAACCGGTGGTGTCGCTCTACACAACGAGCTCTGCCTGTCGCTCCTCAAGCAAGACTGGTGGAGCCCCACTCCCATTCAAGCAGCAGCGTTGCCGGCTGCCATTCTAGGCCGACGAAACATTGTTGGTGCTGCACCAACTGGTTCTGGTGAGTACTGCACTTGCTTACTGGCTAATTTCAACTGCGAGTAACCCGTTTCACTAATGCTGTTGTTCTTCTGCTCTCATCACAAAGGAAAAACAATGGCCTACTTGCTCCCCATATTTGAACACCTCTTGCAACAGGAAGAGCCCAGTTATCAGGATCGAAAGGTCCAGGCTCTCATTCTAGCTCCCACGCGGGAGTTGGCACTGCAAGTGCAGGGTGAATGCGACAAGCTTGTCAAGGGAAAGTGTGCCATGCTTGTAGGAGGTTTGGCCAACCAGAAGCAAGAGAGAATCTTGAGAACCAAAAGGCCGCCAATCATCATTGCTACGCCTGGAAGATTATGGGAGATGGTAAGAAATCTACGACTCTGGTGCACGTTTTTTTTGATGTGGTTTGATTCCGTATGACGAGACACTGTATCGCCTAGACGTTTGTCTGAGCTTCATGATGCAATAATACTTTTGCACGTCAGTCTGATGGATGAATCGAATCATTGGAGGGCTTGCCATTTATTTGTACACCATCCATTTCATCCGTGTGTCTAACTCTGATCTTGCTTGATCTTCCTTCAGATATCCAGCCGTAATCATGATCATCTCAATGATCTCTCGCGTCTTGCCTTTCTTGTGATTGATGAGTGCGACCGAATGACGGAGCAGGGGAGCTTTCCCCAGTTGCACAGCATCCTCGATGCCGTCGAGACCGCGAATCCCATGGACAGCGACGATGACAGTAGCGATGATGACATGGATGACGAAGAAGATGACGACGACGACGCAGGAAGATTGCATTCGCTGCCTGGGATCAAAGGAGAAGCAAAAGTAGTGATGCTAAGCGATGATGTGCTGGCCATGATGCAAAAACAGAAAGACGGCGAGGTTCCCGAACCTCTCGACGAGGACGAGGATGACGAAGAAGATGATGCTGATGTTGACGCCAACGATGCAGAAGACGAACTATTCGAAGAGGAGGTTCCGAACACTGCGCGACGACCAGTGTACCGTCAGACCTTTGTGTATTCGGCTACCTTGACGCTGCCTCCCTCGGCAACATACATTCCATCAAAGAATAAAAAGAAGAGGATGTTCAACCTCAAAGGTGTGCAGGGGGCGATCGAAGAGATTCTGGACAAAGCACGCGCCAGGGGACAAACCAAAGTGATCGATCTCTCCAACTCAAAGAAGCAAGCAAAGTTCAACGAGAAGATCCTGCAGGCGAAAGAAACGTCCAAGAAGGAGACAAAACACAACAAACGAGAGGAGCAGATCGCACCAAAACGAACATTCAATCTACCTCCTGGTCTGAAGCTATTGGAGTTGAAATGTACCCAGATGCACAAAGATTCACATTTGTATGCATACCTCGTAACAACGCGTGAAGGTGCTGCTGGGCCTTGTCTTGTGTTTTGCAACTCGATCAAGGGAGTTCGTCGTGTCGGCACGACGCTCAAGTTGTTGGGTCTCCCGGTTCGGGTATTGCATGCCAACATGCAGCAGGTAAGAACGACGTGGCCACTGTGGCAGCGCCATATTTATTCGTCGCTGTGAGGAAAACTACTTGATCCCCGAGAACACGTGACTATGAGTGGCTCCTATCAGGAAAAAGTTCTGATAGGTTGTTCCACTCGGTCTTATGTGGGTTATCGTGAACAATCTCTGAGCAACGATTTGCGGCGCCGTTGGCAATCTCAAGCTGATTATACGACTTAACTCACTGGTGCTTTCGTGACTTGCTTCTTCAGCGTGCTAGATTCAAGGCTGTTGAGTCACTGCAGAAAGGAGAACGAGCAGTTGTTGTGGCCACGGATATCGCAGCGAGAGGTCTGGACATACCGAACGTTACATCGATTGTTCATTATGATGTCGCGAGGAAAGTCGACGGCTTTGTTCATCGTGCTGGTAGAACAGCGGTAAGTTGCCCAGATGCGTTGTTTCTGTTCCTGAATCAAGCGACGAACAACATCGACGATGAAGATAAAAGGTATTCGGACTAGAGTCTCTGAGGCGGGATTAGTACCCCGACTGTGCTGATAATATTTCCCTTGGCTGTCAGAGTCGATGTTGTTTCGTCCTGTTCCGGTTGCGTTGAGCTGTGTGCAATGCGTCAACTAATCCATGCGTTCCCATTTCTTTGGCAGCGCGGAATGGGCGAGAACGCCGTGGGATCCAGTTTGTCCTTGATTGCACCCGCTGACGAAAAAGCTCATCGCAAAATTGTTGGTGAGCTGAACGCCACCATCCACAGGGTCCCACTAGATTCCCGACTTTTGACTGCTGCTCAGGCGCGGACCAATCTTGCTTCCAAAATTGTTGCCGCTGAGAGCATTGAAGGCAAGGCACAGCAGACCAATGATTGGTTCATGAAGAACGCGGAAGAGGCTGGCTTGGAGGTCGACGCGGACGTACTGGAAGGTGGTCTATTAGGAGGAAATTTGAAGGAACAACAACAATTTCTGGAGGCAGGTCGGGCCAAGACAGAACTTCGACGTTTACTCGCGGAACCAATGGTTACTCAGCGCTTTGGAAAGTTCATGTCCGTCAACAGCGCTGCCAAAACGCAACAAGTGACACCTTTTGTGGTGAAACCAACGACGACACAAGGAACACGATCTAAGAAGAGGCGAAGAAAGGGGAACAAATAGATCAGGTATGTCTATCACTCATTGAATCAATTGATGTGAGCAGAAAGTGACTGTGAAGAACGAACGGACTAGAGTCTCCGACATTCATGAGGAATTAGATACCTCATCTGTGGAAAATATCCTTTGTATCTGAGTTACATTCTGCAGTTTCCGGCTGGCATTGTTGACTCTTACTGTACCTGACACATGATTGCCGTTGTTTCAATTGATTTTGCCCTCAGGTTTCGACTGACCTTGTTTTCACGAGTGCAAGGTCGTGCAATTGACTGGTGCCCTGGTGCCAATTTCTTCTAAAGTTTGTTGATGTCTCCGTTTTCCTCTACTATTAAAATATTAGAACAACTCTGGCATACTCTCAGAAAGATTAAAGTTAGCTTATAAAGCTGGGATCTAGAGCCATACCTGTTAAACTAAATTTAGCTTGGCAGTGTTCATTATTGCGTGCTCTGGCTACCCTGTGACATGGTCTCCATCGTCTTCACCTCTCGCGGACTTTGCGTGGAAACTAACACCACGTCGTGGAAGAATCTTCCAGAACAAAGACACGTCGCTGCCCGATCATTTTTGTTTCGAACCACGCCAAATCGCCACCTCCAATCCACATCATCGTTGGCAGGGACGAGAGACATGGCACCGTTGGACTTTCTTGGGAGTGTCTTCGTTCTCCAAGACGGGAATTATTAGAAAGTTGGCTACGACACCTTGTTTTCTGTTTGGATGGAAAGGCTGAGCTCACCGAACCGAATCTAAGCTTTGATGCCAACGCATCTTGTTCGAGAGAATTCTTCCAATTGGCACTTTTTCATTTCCAGCCAACAGATACATACATTCAAACAAGGAAGGACCATGGCTAAGTTTAGGTTGTCGTCTCTAGTGTTGCTCTTGGCAGCCTCAGCCGCCAATGCCAAGCATCGCAGTACCGCTAGCAATCAGAACAACAACAATGATATTTATCGGCTGGGTATTACGCCCATTCTTCGTCGAGAGGATCGGAACAGTGGCGACGCTCGAAGCGGTCCTGCAGAAGCGTGGGTGGAGACCTTCTCCATGGCAAACAAGCCAAGGCGAAGCATCGACCGGCAGCCACGCAAATTGCTGTCCAAAACTGCCTTTGCCACCAGCATTGCCTTCTTGACAGGTAGGTGTCTTACATGTGTCAGGTTGCCTGGGCTGACATGCCAACTGGAATCTTCTCACATATGCTACTCTTTTATCAACTTTTTGCGTGACAGGATTTGCGGATGTCTTTTCCTTTCGAATGAATCGATGTTACGCCAACATGATGACAGGCAACACCATCAGACTGGCATCGGCTCTAGGGGAGTTTCGAGGAATGGAAGCGCTTCATTTGGCGTCCATGTTATTCGCATATGCATTTGGTGCCTTGGTTTATCGAAGCATGGTCCACTACCACATTCTAGAAGAGAAAACCTCCAAACCTCATGTCGCGGCTCGAACATCAGCCTCCCCCGTAATGTTGGCCATGTTTGCCTTGTCGGATTTACTGTTCTACAACAACAATCTCAACAGCGGCGGCAGTGGACCGAAAAATGTAATTCCCTTGGCCCTGGCCTTTGGTCTTTTGAATTCAGCCACTACAGATGCCATGGGCGGCACCATTACATTTGCCTTGACAGGACATGTATCCAAGCTTTCAAGTGGGATATCCGATTGGTTCTTTGCCACGGATCCCCGCAAGCGACGAATCCGATCCGCCACCAAAATGTCAGCCAGGATCATGGGATGGTTCGTAGCCGGAGTCCTTTGTGGTACTTGGTTGACCATGATTGGATCTAACCATGTACCCATGGAGGCATCTGGCTTGACATTGCCAGCATTCCTGGTGGGAGAACAGAACAGGCTACCCATCTTTTCTATAATTGGCATCATTGCTGTCGCACTAATACAGCTCTTTGACAGACCTCTCCCCAATCTGGTTTGGGATATTCTATCGCTGATGGGACCCAACAATTCAGGGGGCGAAGGAGAACAAAGAAAAGGGACAAACAACAACAAGGCTGACCTCTCGATCAATCTATGGCCACAATCTGCTAACTAAACAAAGAGCCGACCACCCGATCATGTACATACATGCACAAATGGATCTCTGTTCCAAACGAAACCTTCCTCTACACGGGCATGCTGTGCCACTCTAGCGGACTTTGCAAGCCAAACCTCATGGTTACTATTATGATATTGTAAATATAATGACTGCACAAAGCCACAACAAATAGTTTGCCGTAACGCAGTGGCGATGGAGTCGAGTCAAGTGCTGCGGAAGAAATCAGTCAATTTCTTTCGCTTGGCCCCGCCGTTTGCTTTTGCACCCCCCTTTCTGACAATGCCTCTTGTAGTCGTCAATGATCGAACAGGTGCACCAGGCTGCAAGCAAGATTCCACATGATCGTTCAGAGCATGATTCAATGCAAACTTGGAGCTTGCAGTGATGAGTTCATCACACACTGGGCAATGGGCAGTGTGCGATTTTGGTGTCGTGGCAGGCTCATTCGCCGCATCTCCAGCAGTAAGATGTTGGCATGGTGCCTGTTGGCATGGTGCCAGTGCCTGTACTGGGGCTCCCTTGGTTGACACCCCACTGTTCATTTCTGTGGATTGCTGCTGCTGCTGCTTTTGATCTGCCACCACCTGCAGCTTTCGCGGTGCAGCAGCAACCGCCCCGTGGCCCGACGCCAGAAACTTGGTCATGGTTTGGCGCATGGGGGAAAGCTCGTCATCATGTTCGGAGACAAGGTTGGAGCAGCGAATGCCAATCAGGCGGAGGGAAAATCGATGTTTACTCCCTACTTCCTTTTTGAGTTCTTGTAGCATTTCCGCCGCATGCTTGAGCAGGTCGTCTCCCTTTTGTAGTGCGGCATCGACCGTTCTAGATTTTTGAAAGACATCGAATGTCTGAAGTTTGATTTTCAAAGAAACAGTGCGTGCGAGGACCGATTCCTTTTGCATGTCGGATGCCAGCATCCAAGCAATGCCTTCCAGTCGATTCATGAGCTCGGACCATGTTTGTAAGGGAGAAAATGTGCGTTCGCGACTAATCCCCTTTCGTTTGATGACGGCAGCATCGTCTTTGTCGTCTCCCTCTTCTGGTTCTTCCTCACTGCTGCTGTTGTCTTTTTTGAATCCCCCCAACGAAGCCCTCAGCAGGAACTTGGCCGTTGCCGATTTGAAGAGTAACCGCACCAATGCCCTTTCTTTCCACAAACTTTCCACTGTATGAATGGAGAATGCCGCCAGTGTTTTGGCACTGACTCTTCCAATTCCTGGAATTTTTCGGGTGGGCAGTGGTCGTAGAAAGGGCCATACATCTTCCTCCAAGCGTTCTCCGACCAGTTTTTGTCCATTTGGTTTGTTGACATCCGATGCAATTTTGGCAATGGTAAAGGAGGAAGCCAGTCCGGCACTGCAGGTTAAACCGCCTGTGGCCTCGCAGACCATTTGCCGTAGCAGTGCCACAGTCTGAGTGGCCACTTTTAAAAAATCTCCACGTGAAAATAATTGTAGCATGGCATCTGTTTCCTCTGCTTCACTGCATGTACTACTGGCAGTAGGAGCGCTATAGATAGAAGCAGGAGTACTGGCAGTAGTCTTGTCCTGCTGACGGCTCGTGGTGAGTTGCTGTGTAATTTGTGAATGATTCCAGGAAGGGTTCTGTAGTTGGAGTAGCAGATAGGGCCCCAAATCCACGAATGATTCATCGAGACTGTACATTTTGCAGTGCGGATCGAATTGTTGGAGTACAGCCGCGGCTGCCTTTGATTTTTGTTTGTAGAGTTGAAAATTGCTTGGCAAATGAATGAGTGTTTCCTTTCCTCCGGACAATTCTTCTACCAACTTGTCTCCAATCCATCCGGCCATGGCACTGCGCACACCGTATTTGCGTGCCTTGTAATTGGACGTTGATATCATGCCGCCCCCAACACAACAGGGTTTGTCCTTCAAGTGAGGCCGAGACAGCAATTCGCATGCCATGAAAAACATGTCCATGTCAACCACACAACACGTGGATCGATTGCGTCGGCCTGCCAGAATGTCGTCAATTTCGGGCTGCAATTGTTGGAGAATCTGTCGTTCCCAGTGGGGATCCGTCTCTGTTTTCTGCCGTAGGAGAGCTTGCATTTGACGAATTTTGGCATTGACCTTTTCGTCTCGTTTCACTTGGTGTTGCATGTAGACCGTGTCCTTGCTTTCACGGAGAATTATGGCATCAATTCGGTCTCGATCTATCCCATCCATGCCGGCCTTGAAGCTCGCACTAATCACCAGAGCCGAAGCTGTGGTGCTATTACTGGTTGCATTACCAGTAATACTAGTAGTAGTTGCAAGTGGTTTCGAAGATGACAACATGTTGGCTGGGTCGTCTTCTCGGTCGTCTTCTTCCTCTTCCGACATCATCTTTGAACAGAGATGGAACTGATGCAGCCGTCGGGTGTGGTACAGGTGTAGCCACCGGCGTAGTACATGTAGTAGTTGTTATTGATGGCCAATCTCCTCATTCATCTTCCAACTTGATGTCGGTGCTGTTCAAAAGCTTGGTGTGAAGTCTGCGGTGCAAGTCTCACACTGTAAGCCAGCTTGGGCCGCTAACAAAGGATCGTTCCGATCATTTTCCGATCTTTCCTCTCTTCTTCCTGAAACCACAAAATCCAAAACACCAAACAACTCAAAATGACCATGACGGCCTTTTATCGATTACTCCTTGTCACAGCGCTACTATTACTCCCCAACAGCGTAGCTGTCAAGCTGACGGGTCACATTGTGACATGTCCAGCATGAGTCTTGAACCGCCTCCCCATTGTCAAGTAAGTCACTTGCTTGCCCTAAATTGTCGTGTACTGTATTTTTGTGCCGGTCGTTGCCTCATACTTTCAGCTCTTCCTTGTTATGTTAGAAAATTCATCAAGGGTGGAGAGGCGGAGTCCTACGAGGGCATTACGGTCGAGTACATTCGAGGGAGGAAACCAGTCTTGACCGTTTACGAAGATGGAGTGTCACGAGAAGAAGTTCAATTGGCCGATTACGATAGTTTGGAAGCCCTTCATGCCCTGTTTGCCGACAAGGGATTCCATAAAAAGGGAGAAGTACTAGCGGCAGAAAAAAGTGGAGAAATCAACGTTGCTGTGGAGTCCAAAGTAGGAGATGCATTGAAAACATCTTCCCAGGAAGTCAAGGAGAGGTTGGAAAAAAGCAGTAAAGAAAGTTCCGTGTCGTTGGGAAGTCAGGGAGAGGTCATTCCCATCAAAGCCAATGAAGATGGTGCACTGGAATCGGCTCCAGTACATACCGTTGGGTACTTGACGGGGGCCACCATTGTTGGCGTGGTGATTTATCGGGTCGCTGCCAGCAAGAAAAAGGCTGCTCGTAATGTGCAATAATGCATTCGACCGTCCAGTATCGCTAGTCGCTAGCTAGTCATACCAAGACACAACAATTGAGCGGGATTTTCCACAAAGGAATTGAATGATGTGATTTGTAAAGTGGTCTCGTTCTAGTAAAGAATGGAGTTGCCATCAAATCAACTCACTGAGAAATATCTTGTGGAAAGAAAATGACAATGCCGCTATCAGGTGGAAAACGTGATTTGGTGCCGTTCTGTGGAAGGTTTTGGTTTTGTCAGATATGCCCAATCGAATCAAGAGTCGACAATCCCAGTGCTTCACTCTGACCTGTCTAGCTCCTTAAATCAATCATACTGAATGACGAGATTGGGAGACCCTCACGTTTCTGAAGAAATGGGAGTGGTCACCAAATCACTGAGAAAGTACATTTGGTAAGGAGCCCGACATCGAAACAGCCAGGAAAGTCGATTTGCGACTGAATTTAGGATGACTAGAAGCCAACAATTTATTTGCCGACTGGTTTCATGACTGTATTGAATGACATAGTTTGGAATTCTCCTTGCAGCAATCACTGCACGTGGCCTCCAAATTATTGAAAAAATACAGTGTGAACGAGCAAGAAGACAGGTTGTACAATTCACAGGATAGACCATAGTTATGTCTGCAGTATGGTGGGATACAAACAAACACAGAATACGACAAAGACACCAGAATGCCCTTAAAGATGAAGCAGCAAAATGGCATGCCTAACAACAGGTGGGCTACAATAGAGGGGTCGTTTATCATCACAAACAAATAGGATGCCTTTGGATTCGTTCCTTCTGTGCCGTCCCCTTATGCTTCGGCGATGCCGCTTTTGCCAAATAGAGCACTCATCTCTTCATCCCCCGTTTCTTCGTCCTCGCTGTCCTGAAAGTCTTCCAGGAGAGCTGCCCTGGCCGCTGCCATCTTTTGGGCATCCTGACCACTTTGGGTGGTGGCGGGACCGGTTTGTTCTATCCTCTCCAACTCTTTCATGAGAAAGTCCACTGCCATGGCAGTGGCACTGGTTTCGGGGCCACTCAATGCCACCATTGGCTCGCCGGACTTGCCCAAGCGCTTGTTCAGGGCATCCTGTACCACCTTGACAAGGTCGCCTTGTTCGACCTGGGATGACTCGACCTTGTTGGCGGCTGGTGTGGCGTCATTGGCAAACGACTGATCTTCGACCTTAACATTGCCAGATTCCTGGAATTCTTTGGCCACTCGCAAGGCATCCATTTCTCTCCTGTCAACTTTGACATCGGCAATCTCATCCCAATTCCGCAGTCGGAGCATGGTTTCCAACTGATGAGAACCCACAGCTCCCAATGTCTTTTCGTTTTGTTTGTACACCAAGCCGGTGGGAATTCCCTTTTGAGCTGCTCGCACCTGCTTCGTACGAAGAATATTGATCATTGGCCAGGGAGAGCGACGGGCATAGTTGGCCGCTTCGCCGCCACCGGCTCGTGCGCCACCATCGCGAAAGCTCCATTGGGGATGGAAAAAGACCAACTGCAGCAAATCCTCCACTCCGAGCGCCGTCAATGGTTGTGTCAGTGTGTTGCTGAAACTTTCAAAGAGCTCGACGTTATCAATGTAAAACTCAGGTGCAATAAGGAGGGTTGTTGAAATTTCCTTTTCACTTTCCTGTTCAATGCGGACCACTTCTTTCCAATACCGAGCATACATGTTTTCAAAGGCTGTAGCCCGATCTACCGTATAAAAGACGGGTCCCATGGGCAAACCAGCCATTTCGGCACCGTTTGTAAACGGGCAAATACCCATGTCTGACATTATTTTGGCCACCCATACCTTTGTCACATCAATGATTTTGTCGTCATCATCAGGTATCTTATCCACAATCTCTGGCAAATTGAGTTTCTTTTTGGTTTCGGTTTCCAATTCATCATCAATTCCATCGTAGAGCTTTTCAAAATCAGTTCCGTCATCCCAAAAAGGGTCGTAGTCAAACTCAAAAGAATCGTAATCCTTATCAGGGTTTCTGTAAGATTTGACGGTGAAGCCAACGATTCTCCCTCCTTCTTTTCTGTAAGGTACCAACACGGTGGTGATTCCATAATAATCACAGACATCTTTGCAAGAGTCCAAATGACCTAGCAGGATATTGAAAAATTGGGGGGTATTCAGCTTGTCTTCCATATTAGGATACAGTACCGTCTCTTCGTCCTGCAGTCAACAGACAGAAAGCTGTGAGCAGAGGGGTGTTGTCAAAAAGAAAAACCACAAAGATATAGTAGTCGACTCACGCCCTTGACCATGGCATTTCCTCGAGCAATTTGATCCCAGATGGCCTTCAAGAGCTGGGGGGTTGTCTCCGCGGAATCTCTGGGATGCCATTCGTTCTCATTATCTTCTTCTTCTGTGCCACTGTTCTCTTCATCTTCCTTAGCACTTGCTGCAAAGAAAAACTTGTCAGAAGTCCCGGAAAGGCCGTTCAAATAGTGTGTGTTCACCAGGGACTGAGTTGGTTGGGTTGTCGTTGCTGTCTTGAGTCGGGATGGCGAAACCAAAAAGGCAGAAACGCTGGGAAGAGCGAAAGAAAAGGCAACGAATGGTACCATCATGCGCTGCGAAGTGAGACCCATTGTGTAGAGATCTGATCAAGAAAGAAACAGGGAATAGCTCTTGCTGGCCGGGACAGATAATTTATTCCTTTTGGACATGAGAAATGAGAATGACAAATAAGGTGTCACCTTCAAAAGTTTCTTTTTTTTCTTGTGGATGGAGGTGTGATGGCGCTTTTGGCGCTGACGTTTGTTTGAAAGCTATAAATCTTTCTACATAGAAAAAGCATTAGACACCCAGTACCGCTACAATGCTACCGTTAGCTACTACTAGTACTATTTTAATACTGCAGTACAGGACCATCCGACGGTTTTCGCTCAGGCTTTAAAAACTGCCACAACTGGTTATCGTTTTTAAGGGCATGTTAAGGGCATGTTTATTTAAGGGCATGTTTAAGGACATGTTGAAGATTCAAGGGCATGTTTAAGGGCATGTTTTAAACGGTCCTCAGTCGTGGAAAGTTTGAGTTTTTTATAAATCCTGAGTGATAACCGCCGGACGGTCCAGCACAAAAATACTTCTCGTAGTCCATTGAGCTGCTCCTTCCATCCTACCACTACTAGTACTTACAAGCTACCAGTGGTAGCTAGCTGAGCTAGATAGAGTATTGATGATGGATATCATAAATCCAACAAGTCCCAAAGAATGCCACTCATATTACCTCCGCCACAAGATGAACCAAGAGAGGGCTGAAGATGTGCCTGAGGTGGGGCTCGCCGTTGGTGCTTGTGCTAGTGCTGGAGTTGCAGTTGGTCCAGCATTGAGGTCTGGAGTGGATCCTCGTGATGGCTCTCGGTGGGACCTACTAGCTGGAGTCCTGTCGCACCAAAAGTAGGGCCTGGAGATGGGCAAACACATTCCGCGACTAGTGAAGGTACTAGTAGAAGCCCTTGTCCTTGCCAATGACGTACTAGCCAGTACTGTAGCCATCTCTAGTCCCAGGGCTCTTTCAACTCTGGTACGTACAGATGAACACATGTCCAGCTCAGATGTTAGAAAAGCTGAACAAGACATGCATGGCTATCCTCGGCAGGATACATGATCAATTCGATTTGGTTCGATTCGACTTGACTTTTGCTCGATTGAATCCTCCTGCCCCAGGCCACTGGCAAGAGGTACTGTACTAGTACCGCCGTACTACCGTGCCAGGTAGCTAGCAATAGAGAACCGTGCTAAATTTTAAGTTGGTTTGAAGGGGACTGGAGGGAAATTTCCCGCCCCAAAGCTTTGTATAGTTCTGGCCGCCATGTGGTTGCCCTTTCAAGGACGCACCTCAGGCGCAAAAAAAAAAGAGTGCTACACACTCCTTCAGCCAGAACCTTCAGCCATTTATTTGCCCGGGAACGCCGAAGAGGAGTCGAAGGCATGATACTCCGCCAGTTTCAACCCGCAACCATGGCAGAGCATATCGCTTACTTCCAAGCAAGCAAAGGTCATTATGCTTCCAGGCTGGAGGCTCAACAAAACTACTGCTGCATAGCCTCCCAAAGACACGGACCAAACGTCACTAGCATGAAGGAACATCAACAGTTGCGAATGATGGATTTAGATGCCGATGGTGAAGCCTCCACAGATACAAGCAATGCCATTGTGGGGTGCAATTCATCCTCCGATTCGTCGTCCGCGTTTTCACTGAACATTCCGACCTCATACTACGACAAACGATGGATCAAGGCTGCGTCACTCATGAGAACTGATCCATCTCTCGTGACAGGGAATATTTTGATTTCGGCGCTCAAGAACAAGGCGCCTATCAACGCTATCAAGTTCTTCTTGAGTGTCAACCCAAAGGCGGCGGGAATCCCTAAGGAAGGACCCACGCCGCTACAGGTGGCAGTGCAACACAATGCATCCAAGGAAGTTATTAGAGAGTTGATTGTGGCATGCCCGTTTGCACTCATTGTTACAACCAGTGCCGAATGGCTTGATCCACTATCGTATGCTCGCCGTTACAGGTCCTCAGAGACAGACTTGATCGCACTCCTCAGTCGACCATTGGGTAAACAGAACAAAGAGCTGCTGTGCCGACGTTCGCGCCGATGCTTACCCTTTGCCACCTTTTCCCTCTTTGACTTGCATCAGGTAGCTGGATTCATCCCAACCACAGCGACGGAGCCGTACATAAAAAAGCTGACGCTCGTGCCACGTCCGCGAGGACAGTACCAGCGCCCGCAATGCAATTCTTGAAAAAGGCCAAACAAAGCGAGAAAACGAGTTTGTTCTCCGCTGAGGATAAGGAGGAATTGCAAAACGTGAAGCAGCTGTGCCTCTCCGTGATGAAGGGTCAGAAACGGCTAGTGCGGGAAGTTGGACGAGTCAAGGATAGCGTCGAGCGAAACACCGCAGTTGGCGAAACCGATATAGATGGCAGCGCTGCGGGGACCATTCATGACATGCAAGAAGTGTCCATCTTTGATATCGAAGAACTCGGAAACAGCCAGCAACGGAACTTGAGGACCCATCTGATCGCCCTTGACATGAAAGAACAAGGTGCGTTCCAATTGTCATGTCGTGTGGCACACATCGGGGTGCCTCTAACCTTTTCCGTTTGACGTTGTCTGACTTGAAGCTATGAGGGCATATGTCCATCAAATGGAGGATAAGATACTCCAGTCGTTGCAGGTCACAAAGCAGGAGTACGTGGCCGAAAAGTCCTATGAAGATGCTTTTCGAGGGCTTCGCGACGACCTGCACAATGCAGCCCGCCGAATGGACGAGTTTGTAGGCACCTTGGAACACCGCATGACAGATGTTGAAGTGCGACTGGATCATGAAGCCAACGTCAACGCTACCTTTCGAAATGGATTGCAGCATCATTTGGGTATAAACTCTGGAGAACAGGAGGGATTCGAGGTGATTTCGGTCGTTGAGAACACACCATTGGTCTTTGCAACGCCTTATCAGAAGCCACCAAAGGATGATGCAGTGGACGTTCCCCTTTGCCCAAAGGAAGAAGCTCCTGAAAAGCATCCAAAATCTTGCCTTTGGCCCCGCTTTCTCACTCGGCGTCGCAATCCACCCCATAGCCTCACCTAGAGGAAGATCAACCAGCATGGATACGCATCGGAGTATGAAGTGAACCTTTCCGAGCGAAATCTCAGGCCCTTTGGCATGCTGTTGTAGAGACACTATTGTAGATCTGCCTTTCACTCTCCTTCTTGGTTGCGACTCCTATAGTTTTTGTTGTCATTTTCGTGTTGGCTACGTTTTGACATTTGCGTTCATGGTTTCAAAACTCAGCAGGCGACTTTGAGCCAGTCCGTTCCATTTCTCTTTTTGAGAAGGATCGTCCAACGTAGCCATGCTAAGGAAAAAAGCCGCTGCTTCTAGCCAAGTCATGGGCTCCAGTAGCTGTGCTTCCCATTCCAGTTGTGACACTGCTTCCGCAAGCGACGATGCACTCAAATCGATGCCATCGCCTGTTCGCCTGTGATAGGATTCCCACATCGCCTTTTGATGCCGTGCTCGGATATCAGGAGAAGTAGATTGCGTAGAGCTTCGAAAGAATTTGGCCAAGTCGTATCCGCGATAGTGGGTACCAGTCAGCTCAAAGTCGATGAATCGAATCTCGTTGGTAGCTCCAGTCATCATTACATTCGACAGCTTAAAGTCGCCGTGGCCGACGGGAACACAGGGCGCTTTCAACCCTTCTAGACGGTCACGACAAATTCCAATGGTATCTTGCAACTTTGCCAGTGTCCAAGTATCTCCTGATGGCGTCGATAGCTGAAACTTTTCGTCAATCGAAGACAACATGACATCCAAAGCATGCCATAGCATATTGTTATTGGTGCATTGAACATCAGTATCAGTATGAACGCCCTGCAAAGAATGCATCCGTCCCAGTGCATCTCCCACGGCACTGCAAATGGACAATCCGTTGTGAGGGTCAAATATGATAGATTCGGTTAAAACGTGTCCATCAATGTACTCCATCAAGAGTGCATCGGGTGTGTGGGCCAAAACCTTGGGTCCCAAGCATTCGTTGTGCAAGAGTTCATCGACTTCCCCCATAAAGTTTTGGTTAGGATCGACGCGTTTCTTGGCCAGATCAGAGAATATCTTGGCCACCAGAATCTTCTTCTTGGATTGCTGATGATTGTCGTTGTGGTTGTTCACTTCCACCCGAAAAACATTGTTGGAGAATCCCAAGTCGGAAAGGTTGTCTACCACAATATTGTCCCTCTTGATATTCAAACCGGCTTGGTCAAGTAAGGGCTCGAGATATGAAGCCTGAATGTTTTCCGCAATTTGCTTTTGAGAGAGCTGAGAGAATAATGGGGAGAACGGTGTTCTTCTTCTAATGCCTGCACTTGTTGTTCGTGTTTGTGGAGTCAACACAGTGTCATCCAAAACACTCGTCGAGACAAGGTCTCCTCTTCGAGCCAAGAGGCTCACAAAGCTCACCAGGAAAACAGGGTGGATGGCCATTTTCTAGGGACCTTGATTACATGTACTGCCAGCGTTGGTTGCGATGCTTCCAGTGGCCACTCGGGGACAGTTTGGACGTGGGTGTGCCGTGTGCTGTCGCAGTGTCTTTGTGATGGAACCATTGCATGGGTTGCATTGATTTCGCATTTTGTTCGAGCTTCTTTGCGTGGCTTTGCTTTGTGCGTGTGTTGACATCCGTGACTTGCGTCATTCATGACTGATTCACTCAGACCCAGCTTCACCGTGACCGGCACCGTAGCTGATAGTACCGCTACCAGTACCGTATTACCAAAATACAACGGTAGTCACATGATCGAGGGTATGTGGAAAGGGGGAGTTGTATCGACTGGTGGGACTTACCCTATAGTCATAGTAGTGAGTTCGCCCCTACTTAGGCCTAAGTATGGTTATCCTTTATTGGGGTATGGTAATACATAAAAGTCATTGAGAGTATTTTGCCGGGGAAAACCAGGCATTTGAGGGTATCCGATACTACTCAAAATAGTACTGTGGGTTGTATCGGCAACCCCAAAATACAACTTTTGGCCTAAGTATCTTTACCAAAATACAACTTCAATCGTACCAAGAACAACCATTCACACACAAACGTTCCGGGAAACTCAAAGACTTATGGTCCCGGAACCTTTCTCTTAGTACTGAGAGAGGGTAAACTGCAAAGTTACGCTCTACCACAACGCACGTATCCCGTAGTACGGCCGACTTGGCCGTTGGACCGGATGGTTGATCAGTCAGTCGATCCTCATTCTTCACCAAATTTGCCATAAAATCGATGGAGTCAACCTGAAAAGGCGAAGCCCTCGCTATTTTGTTACTCAGTTACTCGCTGTTTTGTTACTCTCGCTCTTTTGTTACCGACAATGGCGAGGAAGCGCAAGTCACTCGATCAACAATACCGGCCAGCACTCACCAGGTTTATGTCTTTGAAGCATGGCCGGCAGACACCATATGATACCACGAGGAGCTTTACACAGGTACGTTGGTTGGTTTGTTGGCTCCTTCGCTCCTTGTCATTTCGCTGATCAAACATCATTGCTCACACCATGGTCGTCTTCTTCACTTTTTCTGTTCTCAGGACCAGCTTCTTGCCATTACACCCACTGATGTCGCCCGGTTCCTGAACTTCCTTATCACATATGGGAAGACCAATCCTGGTCCCAATGATCGCCACCCAAAGAGATCTACCACTTTGAACAATACAAGAAGGCCATCAGCCACTTCCATCCGAACCGCCACTCGCCATGGGCTGTTGTTCCCAATGTTGGGAATCCAACTGCTCCACGAACGTCAATGGAGTGATCAAGGCTGTGAAGAAGGCGGAGGTAGGAAGCAGGGAAGGAAATAATGTCAAGCGAGATCTCAAGCTTCGAGAATTCCGCAAGACCTTCGGATCCTGGAGCGTGATGGAGGTGCCACATTGACCTCATGATCAAGACTCCAACCATGATGAAGGTTCAGTTCCACATGATTTGTCGAACTGATGATCTGACGAACATGGAGACATTGGACTTCCGCAGCCACTCCAAGTTTCAAAACTTCCTCTAAACAGTATCTGGAGCAAGAACGTCCAGGAGGAGCGCGATTGTCCTGACCAAATTTTGCTGGGTTCCGCTGACCCTGACTTTTGCGTCCTGATTGCCCTGGCTATTTGGATAGAGACTCGGCTTGAGAGGGGACAGTGATTCCCATTTTTGTTTGGCATTACGTGTTGACGACGAAGAGCATTCCTTGCCGCCATCGAGGCACTGGACAACGATGAAGAGCTCGACGAACCAACATTGAGACGGAGCCAGATCGAGTCAAGCCTGGTGCACTACGCTAAAAGCTAGTGTAAAGATTTTCGAGTGTTTTGAGTTTGAGAGATGAAGTTAAGAGAGAATTAGAAAGCTAGAAACTAATCAACGAGAGAGATCATAATCAAGGGATCGTAGATCTGGCTTCCCGCGGGAGACTATAAAAGGATAGAGTAGGTTGCGGTAGGTAATCCTACGTCTTCCACGATCCTAAAAAGGAACGCGTGGAAGGTTTTCTAGCCTGGTCTAGTACGTGAAGTACTCCACGCTGGCTAAATATCATGAGCGATGTTTCATCATCAACCTAGTATGACTAGCGCGGTCATTGAGAACCCTGTCTCAAATGACTATTCACGAGGACTCAGTCATGAGTCGAACTCAAACCTCTATCTAAGGATCGAGTCGCGGATAAGCTAAGAGCCGTGTATTTGCATTCGCCCTGACAAGGGTCACGGAGGCACGACAGCAGTCGACAAGGAGAACATATGATTTTAAAGTGCGGGGCACTCTCATGAGATTTGGATGTAACATTTGCGTCGCACGATGGCAATCCTACAAGGGGATCAGGCCTTGTATGGGTGTATATCCTTATGTTCCAAGTCTGGTAGACTGCGCCGCCATTGGCGGTAGCATGTCGGAGCCGTACAGTGCCATTGTCATTGACTCGGTCTATAGTGTAAGGACTTTGTACTTTGGGCTGACCGTACTTGCGGTCTTGATACTGTTGAATCATCACGGTATCGTTGACATTGTATTGATGAGGAGCAC